ATCTCTCTGAAATTGTACTGCAAGGTACCATACCTCAAAGGGAAGGCTGGGATTGATATTGGGGTAGATGAATCATAAGGGGGTTCAAAAAATTGGGGGAGGGATTTTTTTTTCCTTTTTTTCCTTTTTTTTTTTCTTTAAAATTTTCCATTATAAGTTGGTTATTTTTGATTTATATATAAAAGCAAATAATAATGATATGGTTTGATTACATCAAAAAATGAAATATTGGGGTTCTTTGATATGCTGAATCTAACTGTGTATTTAGATTCTTAATTTTTGGTCCCGTTTTCAAATTGGTCTACATTAAGGTCCAAAGGGTCCAAAATTAAACTTTGGGTTCTTTGATATGCTGAATCTAACCGTGCATGTATTTAGATTTTGGATATTCATGTTATTGGACCATAATAGGTAAATTGAAATTTTTTAAGTTCTTAGACCACATTCATTCTGTGTCAGAAACCTATGCTGTGTCAAATATTTAATCACAATCCAAATTCAGAGCTGTATCAAGCTTGAATGTTGTGTCCATACTTGCCCCAACTGTTCAGGGTTCGACCTCTGCGGTCGTATCAAGCTGCGCCCAGCGGAGCATTTTATTGTAAATATGTTCAGATTTAAAAAAAAAATTCCCTAGCATGTGCCTTCTTGTATTCTTCAACATATTAGTCAACAGAAATGGGACACTTACCAAATTTCTGAAACTTAATATTTTGCTTCCCTTTTTGGATATCCAAGACAAAGATCTTTTCTTCACTTTTTTATACTTGGCAATATTAAGGATTTGTATCACTATACAAATCCTTGGCAAGATAGTTATATGAGCATGATGAGGTTTGGGGAAAAAATACAAAAAGTTGGAGATTTCCACAATAGTTTTGGACATCGCCCTGTCAATTTTCAAATGATTTTAATTATGTGGATACTGATATTTATGTGAGTTCAGTTAAAATAAGGGTTAGATTGTTTGCCCATTTGTTATTTTGTTGTAAGGTATATCAAGTTCAGTGTTTGCAATCAGTTCTATTTTGCTAAACTATATTAGCGACAGACATGAGCACCAAATGTTTTTTTTGTTCATCTTTCTATATTTTATATGATAAATATCTACAGAATATTAAGTCATATCTGACATTTATATGATCTCATTAAACTGAATTGAAAATATGTAACACAAATATGCAGTCCTCTTGAATTTATTTTAAAAGATTATGTTTCAGAAGTTATTTTGACATGTTGACAAATATACATGTCGCAAATTTAGTAACATCCAAACTCGTAATTAGTTGTTGGCTATGATTTCCTTTTCAGGTACAAAGAGTTACCCTATGAATTCAGGGAAAGAACTCTCTCTCTCTCTCTTCATTTTAAAAATGAATAAATACAAATTTATCCAAACTTTTTCTATATAAAAAAACTAATATTTAGAGTAAAAGGAATGTAATGAAACTGACTATTCAAAAATGGTTTATCGTAATTTTAGTATACTTATGTGTCCATCGCTAACATGACTAATAGATAAAGTAATTATTCAGTTTTGATTACATAACTGTAAAAAAGTACAATTTAACTTGGTATATAAGGAAAACCCATATCAAACAATAGTAATTGGTAATCGTTAAGAAAACACATTTAATGTTTACAAAGGCGTAAGGATTAGAAGTTTAATTATTCACTGAGGCTCACCAGAGGATGCAACGAATTTATTTTATTTGGAAACATTTTCCTGTCAACTATTATTGGGACAGTCGGTTTTGTAACTTTGTAACTAACAGTCTTGCAGACGAAAATATTTGCTCTGACGGTACCAATGTGACGGAATGGCTAAGACACGTTTAGTTTAGAGTGTTAGCCTAGGTATAGCCCACGTATTTTTGGAGGCATTTTAAATGACAATCTAGCGCAAGCATTCGAAATAAAATGTATTTTATTTACTAGTTTGGTTAATTAGGGATGCCTATTTTATTTTCCGAAAGAGGTTCTCAAGATGATCAGTTTTATATAACAGTATAAAAGAGACAGCAATATTCTAACCGGAAACCGATTAGTCGAGTATAGTTTTGGTATTCAATACTCGGTATTACCAAGCGATACTCGAATACTTGAGTACTGGGCCCGTATGCATAAAGCTACTTAAACTAAGATTTTCCTTAGTAAACACTTAAGTTAAGGAAACTCCGCCCTTTTTACCTAAGTGGTATGCATAAAACATCTTAAACTAAGTATTTCCTTAGTAAAATCTTAGTTGGTTTAAGTCACGCCCACAAAACTTAAGTGGTATGCATAAAACCCCTTATACTAAGAAAACTCCTAAGAGTATACTTAAGTATAAGGTACCTATAGAGCTACCTTAACTTTTCTAAAATATATAAAATCAGTCGAATGTATGCGTGTTTCGCAGAACATGGATAGATTAGCTCCCATTTAATTGAATAATAATTATATTCAGTAATATTTCGTTTGTTTATTGCTAAATATTAACAATCATTGTAATTTTCGTAAAATCACTTATAATCAACAAAATCAACAGGTAACAGAGGGTAGTTTTATAATTTCATTCTACCCTTATTTCCCAATCTCGTTAGTGTGTATTCCGAAAAGTACTCACAGTATTTACACGCATGGAATTCATGCAATTATATTTCTTTTGATTTGTTCGTGCCTGCTTACACAAGTATTATGAAATACACTGCCTGGTATTGATTGTAACTGTTAGTACAAAACTGTATGAAGGAAGGAAGCGATGAGGATCTATAGGCATGCAAAATCCTGTTTTCTTAGGGAGGAGGGGGACATGGGTTTAATTTTCAATTATATTGTTTTTTCTATGTATATTAGTCAAATTTTCCCTGAATTTGTTTCACTAACTTGGACAAAATCAAAACGCTTAAGGTTCATGTGGACCCTTTGGCTAAAATGGCTGCATTTTCACCTCAACATTTACTCTGAGTACAGACAAACCTGTGCATCTGGAAAAGTTTTAAGGCACGTGAAATAAATATGGCAAAACACGTTGCACGAAAATAACCCTTTACCACCCTCCTCTAAGGGTGAGTGGCGACCAGAAGTACGGTATTTGGTCTATTTCCGACCAACAGTAAAACTCTTGCCAAAACGGGACGTTAGTTTGGCTGGCGGGATGTACAAGTACGCAACCACGTCCGGTCAGACTAGGGAGTTAAATCCTATGCTTCGTGAAGAGAGAGTGCCACACACTCTGACCTTTAAGAACACATACAACAACTCTTTGGGGTACGTAGGTGAGCTGTTGCAAGGGAGAATTGTGTTCCTATCAAATATACCTTCATTTACCAGTGGTAGTCCAAATTTTCTTGACCGTCATCCCGGAAAAGCGTCTATTACAAGATCCACTTATTTTATCTATTGTTAATTTGTTCTCGTCTTGAACATGCATGACATATTTGCCACTGGACTTTAAGCAAACATCGATAAGTCAATCAATTTCCTTCCAACCCCCTTTCATCTCTCCTTTAGTAACAGTAGGGGGAAGTTTTGCGTTATAAATATGTTTTTCTTCTCACGCTCGCCCACCAAAACAACCTTTTCTCTCTGCGCCAATTTGTTTGGTTATTTTAGTTGGTTACGCATTTGTTGATTGTTTTACACACCAACATCAATTTAACATCAGTTCTTTAAACAATTATGTATTGTTCAATCAATGTAAATAATCAAAGCAAACTTTTACACGGATGAGTACATGCGATGAGCTAACATATATCATACGGTGATTAGAGAAAGGTTCCGATTTAAGTATTCCTTAGTTAAGTGAAGACTTAAGTAATGTTATGCATACGACTTAAGATTTTTACTAAACTAAGGAAATTCTTAGTGAAATCTAAGTTTAAGGAACACTTAAGTAAAGATGTTTTATGCATACGGGCCCTGGATGACATCCTTAATTTATTTTTGATTAAAGGGGCATTAGCTACAAATTAGACAAAAATTAGAATATGATTTTTTATGTTTCAAACATTTATAAAAGCAGAATATAGCAATTATATTTCTATATTAGCAGTCAGTTTGGTTCAATTTCATCAAAATAAGCTAAAAAACAGTGCTGATGTATTTATATTGATTTGCAAGTCAATAATTATACCCCCGCTTTACAAAAGTGGGGGTATACTGTTTTACCTCTGTCTGTCCGTCCTTGTCTGTATGTCCATCCATCCGTCCATCCGTCCCATGAATATTTTTCGTCGCATCTTTCTCAGGAACTACACCATAAGGATTTCTGAAATTTGTTTTCAGGATTTATATAAGTCAGCTATACTGTGTGATGCGTTTTCAGATTCATCACTCAACAACTTCCTGTTTACCGAACACTTGCATATTTTTACACTATTAAAATCATCCAGTTGCGGCGGGGGTATCATAAGTGAGTAGTAGCTCGCAGTTTCACTTGTTTAACCTCATTTGAATTTGTATTCATTTAACCTTTAATCTGACTCTTAGTGGACATGGGTCGCGCTTGTGCTCAACATATAGTTCATTCATTAAAAGAAAAGAATGTCAACATTGAAAAGTAAAACAAGAGAGACAACACAACCATTTCGTTGACTGATCAGGCCCACAAAATATAATTCTAATACATGTTCATGTTAAGCGATAATAGTCTTTCCCACCAATAACTGGAGTAAACATACTATTGACTTTTTGTCTAAATCACAAGACATGCAGGAAGAGTTACATCTCTGTTGTTTTTGACTCACCATTTGTCCCATTGATGTAAATAATTTTAAGTCGAAGAACACATTCCCATTGCAAAATAATTTTTTATACTCCAAGAGTCTAAATGTCATACATGCACATATATATTTATGTGTGTAACAGAACCTTGGCAGATCTACTGAAATATTGTTAAGAGACTGTTCATGCATTATGCTATAGAAAAGAACAATTCAAACATTTTTACATCAAGGTATAAGTCATTTGATATTCTGTTTTATTTCTAAGTTTTTTTTATGCAACAACTCTTTTTTGTAATTAGCAGGAACAAGAAACATGGCTGACTCACAAACAGCAAAATGGTATAGGATAGATTTAGGATTGCTGAGAGTAAAAATCTTTTACTTCTTCACACTTGCTTGTAAGTTTTAAAAGGATCAAGGCACTGACCATTCCTCTTTTGTGGGGGGGGGGGGGCATCAGGGTAACCAAACCAGGCAAAGTGAGCGATTAATATGATTAAGTTGCCCTGAGATTCCTGACTTCGCTTGGCATATCTTTGTCTCACCTGCGACGAGACATAGTTATTACTTTCCGGCGGCGGTGGTGTAAACTGTTTGTATAAAGCTTTATATTTCAGAAGGTAGAAGACCTGTATGCTTCATACCTTGTATACAGATACCTTATGTTACGAAGTTTCCGTCATATGCCCATTGTTATTGACCTCATTTTCATGGTTCAGTAACTGCTTGAAAAAAATTACAGTTTTTTTGTCATGTTAATTTCTCACTTATTATGAGTGATAGGATAACTATATTTAGTATATGGGTTCCTTGCAACGTCTACATGTCCGTCAGACAGGGTTAACCTGACCTCGACCACAATTCATGGATCAGTGATCAAGGTTAAAGTTACGAGATTAGGTCGGTTTCTCAGATATTACAAGCAGCAGGTCAACTAAATGTGGTGTATGGAATGATTGTAAGGGGTACATGTCAGACTGGCAGGTTTCATCTGACCTTGACCTCATTTTCAAGGTTCATTGGTCATTGTTAATTTGTTTGTGTTTTGGTCTGTTTTTCAAGTACTGCAAGCAACAGGTCCACTATATTTGGTGTATGGAATGATTGTAAGTTGTACATGTCTGTCGAGCTGTCATCTGACCTTGACCTCATTTTAATGGCTCATTGGTCAATGTTAAGTTTTGTGTTTTGGTCTGTTTTTCAAGTACTATAAGCAATAGGTCAACTATATTTGGTTTATAGAATGATTGTAAGTTGTATATGTCTGTCTAGCTTGTGTCATCTGACCTTGACCTCATTTTCATGGTTCATTGGTCAATGTTAAATTTTGTGTTTTGGTCTGTTTTTCAAATACCAATAGCAATAAGTCAACTATAATTGGTGTATGGATCGAATGATTGTAAGGTGTACATGTCTGTCTATCCAGTATCATCTGACCTTGACCTCATTTCCATGGTAAATTGGTTAACATTAAGTTTTTGTGTTTTGGTCTGTTTTACAATTACCATAAGCAATGGGTCAACTATATTTGGTGTATGAAATAATTGTAAGGTGTACATTTCTGTGTGACAGTTTTTATCTGACCTTGACATCACTGTCATGGATCTTTAAAAATGTTAAGTTTATGTGATACTTGTAGGAAATCTTTATCTTTAAGACTTTCAACATAAAATCAATGGTCAGTAAAACAGGCGAGACATTTCAGCGTGTGCACTCATGTTTTTTTATAGGGACAGTTTTTGTCTTCCTGCGACGAAAGTCATGGAAAGCAAGACATAGGGATTTCTTTTCCGACCCGAAGGTGTCAACAATTGTTAAGTTTTCTGATTAAGGTAGTTTGATAGGAACTACTTGTGATAGATCATTGATATTTTGTATGAAGATGCATAACTATCCGTACATATCAGTTTGACGACTATTTTGAGTCCTCCCCCCCCCCCCCCCCCCCTAGCCCATAGTCCAGTGACTTTAAATTAATTAGCAATTTTAAATGTTAAGTTTCTTGCTGAAGTTAGATTGATAGGAACTACTGGTGATAGATATTTTATGTGAAGTTGCATTGCTATCAGTACATATCAGTTTGATGACTATTTTGAGGCCCTGCCCCCTAGGCCATGGTCCAGTGACTTTCAATTAATGAGCAATTTACAATGATAAGTTTCCTGATTAAGGTAGTTTGATAGGAACTACTTGTGATAGATCATTGATATTTTGTATGAAGATGCATAACTTTCAGTACATATCAGTTTGACGACTATTTTGAGGCCCTGCCCCCCCTAGCCCATAGTCCAGTGACTTTAAATTAATTAGCAATTTTAAATGTTAAGTTTTCTGCTTGAGTTAAGATTGATAGGAACAACTGGTGATAGATATTTTATGTGAAGTTGCATTGCTATCAGTACATATCAGTTTGACAACTATTTTGAGGCCCTGCCCCCTAGGCCATGGTTCAGTTACTTTCAATTAATTAGCAATTTACAATGATAAGTTTTCTGATTAAGTTAAGTTGATAGGAACTACTTGCAATAGATCAATGATATTTCCTTTAAAGTTGCATTACTATCAGTACATATCAGTTTGACGACTATTTCAAGGCCCTGCCCCCTAGGTCATGGTCCAGTGACTTTCAATTAACAATTTTCAATGTTAAGTTTTCTGATTAAGTTAGTTAGATAGGAACTATTTACAATAGACAATATTTTCTATAAAGTTACAATGCTGTCTGCACATCTCAGTTTGTCAACCATTTCGAGGCCCTACCCACTAGTCGGTCCAGTGACTTTGAATTAATTAGCAATGTTGTTGTCCATCAGATTGTCTTTTTCTGAATTTTATGCCGACAGGCGAGACATATCTCTGTGTCAACAGTTTATTTAAAAACATACAGTCTGAAAATGTTTTTTTTAAACTCAATGTTTTTTTTTTTTACTAACCCTTCTGACAATGTCTGAAAAAGTGTAATTTTTTATCTCCAGAAATTTTTATAAAAAAAAAAATGATGTCCCCTGGTGTCATATGGTATTTTGAACCCCATGGAAAATTGACCCCGGGGTCACAATACCGTTATGGTAAAATAACCCCCCCCCCATGGTAAATTGAACCCCCCCCCCTTTGTATGGAAAATTGACCCCCATGGTAAATTGAACCCCCCTGTTTTTTTTCCTTCTAGATAATTATTAGAACATAATACATTATTTTAAAGCTTTTTATAGATTTAAAATCAAACATACAAAAAGGGGAGGTAAATTTTCCATGGTAGGAAAAAATAAAGATACCATGGCTTGGTATAAGACTTAGTGCTCTGAACATGCTGAAGACTTCCAACAAAATTTCATTCAAAATACTTATTGAAGCATTACGACTAGACCATGTACCTTGAATGCTTTGATTATTTGAAATCCTAACATATAAAGGGAGTTAAATTTACCGTGGTAAAAAAGGGGGAGGGGGTCAAATTACCATGGCTCAGTTAAATTGTAAAAACATCTTTAAAATATGAATTATATGTACCATATATTAATTAGAGTATTAAAACTTTGAAAAGTGATTTGAAATAATTTGATTTTTGAAATTAAGAGGTGTATAGACAATGGGGTTCATGGCAAGGGTGAGGTAAAGGGGGGGGGGTCAAAATACCATGTCTAAGAAAAATTGCTAAATAATCTTTTTCAACATGTTTCATCTATACCAAATACTACTTAGAGCAGTTTGAATAGATATGATTTTTGAAATTTGCAAAGGTAAAGTGGGGGGTTCATGCATCAATACTATGGCCGGGGGGGGGGGGGGGGGGGGGGGGGGGGTCAAAATACCATGGCTAAGTAAACTTTTCCAAACATCTTTTCCAGCATGTTAAATACATACAAACTACTTATTGGAGTATTATAACTATGTTAAGGAGTTACAATAGCTAGATTTTTTTTAATTAGAGGTCTATTGAAGGGGGTTCAATATACCATAGCAGGGGGGTCAAAATACCATGGCTAAGTAAAATTTTCAAAACATCTTTTCCAGCATGTTAAATACATACAAACTACTTCAATTGGCGTATCATAACTATGTAAAGGAGTTAGAGAAGCTAGAACTTTTGAAATTAGAGGTATATTGTAGGGAGTTCAATACAGACATGGTGTCAATTACATTGGAATGTAATTAATTGAATTACACATTACATTGCAGGGGGGTCAAAATACCATGGCTAAGTAAAATTTCCAAAACATCTTTTCCAGCATGTTAAATACATACAAACTACTTATTGGAGTATCATAACTATGAAAAGGAGTTCTAATAGCCAGATTTTTTTAAATTAGAGGTATATTGTAGGGGGTTCAATATACCATGGCAGGGATGTCAAAATACCATGACTAAGTAAAATTTTCCAAACATCTTTTCCAGCATGTTAAATAGATACAAACTACTTATTGGAGTATCATTACTTTGTAAAGGAGTTAAAATAGCTAGAATTTTTGAAATTCGAGGTCTATAGTAGGGAGTTCAATACAGACATGGTGTCAATTACATTGGAATGTAATTAATTGAATTACACATTACATTGCAAAAATGATCAATTACACTAATTACCATTACACAGTTTTGGCAATGTAATTAATTAAATTACAATTACTTTACCAAAGTAATTAATTGAATTACACATTACATTTTATCAGAATTGTATAAACCAATATGTTATGTACAATGTAAATATATATATCTTGTCTCAAATTTAGCCCAACAATGTTTAATCTTCTTCCCTCAGCTTAATTTGACCTCTTGATTCTTTATATATATATATATCGCATGAGCCAAGGCTCCGTGTTGAAGACCGTACTTTGACCTATAATGATTTACTTTTATAAATTGTGACTTGGATGGAGAGTTGTCTCATTGGCACTCATACCACATCTTCTTATATCTATTGTAAGCGTATGTGACAATTTGGATGTAAAGTGTTTTCATTTACTTGATAACTGGTATTTTTTGCCAGCTATTGTCTATTGTCATTAAATTTCTAAACTTTTCAATTTTAACTATTGCCAAGCTATATATATGTAAAAGGCAACAAACATCACTGTGGTTTTTTTTTTTGCATTTGCATTTGGTCAAATACCATTGAATTTCCTTTAATTAAGGTAGCCAACTTAGGTTGTTAACTTATTTTCATCTCATTTTTAAGAAGAAGGATTTTTTTGTAATTTAATTAAAAAGTTTTATATAAATTAAAAATTTAATTTGTTCTTTAAAAATTTCAAAAGAAATATAATAGTTGTTATAACATTGAAAATAATTGAAGTATAATGCTTCATATATTTGTATACATCTGCTAATTAGATAAAATACATGTAATAGTTTACACTGTCCCTAGGCTGTTTTACACACATATTAATCAGACTAATTACCATTTGTTTTTACAGCTGATAATTTTATTTCTATAAACTTATTGTGTATACTAATTTGACAAAATTAGTGTGGGCAATTATTTAAAAAAAATTTACCTTCATGTAAATCACAAAGTCAGACTTCCAGATATTTTAGAAGTACATTGATGGCAATTTGCTCTAAAAGTTTCATTAGGATTTGTTGGTTTCTCATTAATATATGTGAATTAAATATTATTTTACGATTAATATTAACAGAATTTCTTATGGTTAACATCAAAAATTACATGCACATGTAATTGAAATGTAATTGAAAAGTAATTTAATCTAGCATTACATGCTTTTTTCAATGAAATTAATTAAATTACCATTACATGTAAATTAAAAAAATGCTCAATTACACATTACATTCAATTACATGGAAAATTGTAATGCATTACACTTAATTACAATTACATTTTCAATTACCCCTTCCCTGGTTCAATATACCATGGCAGGGGGGTCAAAATACCATGGCTAAGTAAAATTTTCAAAACATATTTTCCAGCATGTTAAATACATACAAACTACTTATTGGAATATTATTACTATTTAAAGGAGTTAGAATAGCTAGAACTTTTGAAATTAGAGGTCTATAGTGGGGGGTTCAATATACCATTGGCAGGGAGGTCAAAATACCATGGCTAAGTAAAATTTTCAAAACATCTTTTCCAGCATGTTAAATACATACAAACTACTTATTGGAATATTATAACTATGTAAAGGAGTTAGAATAGCTAGAACATTTGAAATAAGAGGTCTATATTAGGGGGTTCAATATACCATGGCAGGGGGGGTCAAAATACCATGGCTAAATAAAATTTTCAAAACTTAGCCATGGTAGATGTGTAGATTAGCATTTCAACAGGAAATTATGATTCAATGTTTTTTGTAGGAGTTATGCCCTTTGAACTTAGAATAATTGCCTAAATATGCTACGATGCAGTCCGGTAACTGCGCCCACCTAAGGCTTTGGTCGTGTATATTTCTTCTTTATTATAAAAAACAGAGGGACGGGCGGAAATACCGGATACGACTGTACTGCAACAGTTTGTCATTGCAACTCCTTTGAAAACACTCAACAGAATTCCATTAAACTTATACTATATAGATGTGCCTATACTCAAGAAATTTTATCAGCTGCCTTTTGTAGGAGTTACGAATCTTTGAAATTAGGAATCTGGTGAGATTTAGGAGTAAAATCCCTTTGAGCTCCTCTGAAACCATACTACAGAATTTAATGAAACTTTATAGTTAATGATAACATAATATGTAGATGTGCATATCCACGAGAATTTTTTTAACAGTTGACTTTTGTAGCAGCTATGAGTCTTTCAACTTAGGAATCTGATGAGATTTTGTTTGCCTAGTGACAATGTGGGGGCGTGGGGTGAAGGTTCTTTAAGTTGACTTATTTTTATTGAAATTCATGCACCAAAGGGGAATACTGTTCAATATTCCGCTTTTATACATGTTTGAACGAATAAAAGAATGGCCTCCAAAACAGATCATCCAAAACTATCAACTTTAATTAAAGAAGTTGCAACCTTAGATTAAATACCATAATTTATTCACTTAACTTTTACAATCAAAATATATCTTTTTAAAAATCGTGCAATTACCAAAGTGCAGACTACCTGTTGAAAGGTACCCTCTTTGTACTATTCAAGTTCACAAGCATCAGAAAATCTATACATGAACTCTGAAAAAGTCATAATTTTTATCATGTAGGGTAAACATGTAGATTTTCTGCCAGCATACTCATAAAATATTATGCAAAAATCAGTAGCACATGAGCTTCGATTGGCTTTAGTAAGTGGGTTCAAAGTTCAAATGTGAAAATAAATTGGCCATGTTGAATATTTTGTGACCCCTTTTCGGTTCAAAATTTTCCTGATGAACTTTCATTTGAAAATGTTTAAGAAACATATATCGAATTTCTGATGATAATTTACATTTCTACATACATATGTCTACTATTCTTTTTTTCATTTTGTAGCTATTGGTGATCTTCTACCATTTATGGCACTTTATATGAAGCAGATTGGTATGACAAATTCACAGACTGGAATAATTTATGGTCTTATGCCATTTATTGGGTTTTTAGTCAGACCATTATTTGGAGCTTTAGCAGACAAATTCCAGAAACACAAACTGATTCTATTTGTGTGTTGCATTTTAACAGGTCTGTGCTTTAATCTTATGATACTTGTGCCATCAAAGCAAACTGAACATACAAAAGTGACAACTGAAATCATGTGTAATCAAGGAGATTTATTTATTCGAGATTGTTATAATATCAACCAGAGTATTAGCATGACAGCATGTCCCATGTCATTTCATTCTTATATTACTAAAGCCAACGAGATTATAAGTGAGGAATCTTTTGTTACAAAGGTAGCAAATTCAAGCAGCAGTAATACTGTGCCATATATCATCAGTACCATGCCAAAAGAACAAAATGTTGCCACAAAGTCTAAACTTTCATGCGGTTTGCATTGTACTTATAAGGTAATGTCAGACTCGCCTCAGAAAGTGTGTTTGACTGATGCAACAGGCACATATGATAGTGCTGAATGCTACCTAGTGAATTTAGATATTAGAAAAGGAGAATCTTATGTGAGTTTTCAAATTCCAGATCTTGGATATCTGTTAAACAAAGAAGTTTTATCAAATAAAATTAAAACAGATGACAAAATTTGTAGGACTTTTTACTTAAAGGATATAGTGTACAAAGGTCAAGAGTACTGGCAAATGTTGTGCAGTGATGATGCATTTCTTGTGTGTGACCTTCAATGTAGCCATGTGGACACATGTACTCATATTGTAGCAGAGGATTTAAGCCAAACATCATTTTGGTTCTTTTTTGTACTGTTTTTATTTGGAAATGTATTTTTTGCACCTATAATGAGTTTGGGAGATGCCATATTATATGACATACTTGGAGAAAAAAATAGGCATAAATGGGGCAAACAGAGATTATGGGGAACAGTTGGATTTACCGTGTTTGCTGTTGTTTCAGCTTTAAGCATGGATATACTAAGTTCAAAAACCAAAATGAACAATTTCAGTATAGCATTTTATTTGTTTAGTTCCTTAAACATTGCAACAGCTTTGATGTCATGTATCATGAGAATTTCAGACACCCTTATGTGTGGGCAAATGTTAAAAGGAACAATGACTCTGCTACGTAGACCTAAAACTTTAGTATTTCTTCTAGTTGTGTTTTACTTTGGATCATTAACAGGTGCAATAGAGGCCTTTCTCTACTGGTTTTTGGAAGATGAACTTGGAAACAAACTGAAAATTATTCCAGGGTTATGTTTATTGTTCTCTTGTATAGCTGAAACACCGTTATTGTACTTTGCAGGTTTTTTTATAAAAAGATTTGGACATTTTAAATGTTTATATGCTGTTTTCATTGCATATGCTTTAAGGTTTATGATATATTCATTCCTTGAAAATGCATGGTATGTTTTACCAGTAGAAATGTTAAATGGTATTACCTTTGGAATCATGTGGGCTGCTGCAACATCATATGGCAGCATACTTACACCTCCAGGAATGTCGGGAACTATCCAAGGACTGCTGAGTGGAGTCCATTTTGGATTTGGTAAGTATTTCTTTTGATGACATGTTTTGTTGCATTTAGTATTGATTTTGTCGGGTAACTAATAATTACTATGTAATTTACCAAAATATCACAAAATTGTATTAATTTCTTTTGCAAAAAGGGAGGACAGTTACACATATTATATAACTATAAAGCAACTAAATGAGGTCAATTCATAAGTAATGTTATACATGTATGATATATCAAATGTTTTAAATATACACATGAAAGATTTGGCTTATCAAACATAAGTCGTAGCTGAATATAGTAAGTATTGTTTCAGAAACTTCAGTCGTAAAAGAATCGTAATTCTGAAATCAGCAGCTAACCATTTTAGTTATTTTGTACAAGTTTTTGCTAAAAATTGTTAAAATTACATTAATATTTAATAAAATAGCCAATATTAACATAAATAATTACCCTTGCATTCTCAAGTTGGAATGACAGTCATTCTGAGAATCAGAGGGGCGATATTTATTTGCGCTAAAAATGAACTCATTTGCACCAATGCTACTTCTGCGCCACTTCATTTTAAAAACTATAGGTATCATTAGCGCCAATTAAAAAATCATCTAATTGTGCCAATTTTATGAATTTATTTATTTTTACTTATATATATCAACTAAATCTTTGCACCTTTTGTTTGCGGTATACCATCTTTTCCGCAAATTTATTGTTTTCTGTTTAGTATTAAATTTATAATTAAGATCCATTTATTACATCGGTGATCCATTTATTTGGCAATCGTAAATGGCAGTCAGCAGGGTTTAAGAACATTTGTTGTTCGACCTGTTAGTCAAATGCGTTTTGTTAAAATATACTTTTTCACTTTTTTGGTCTTTTGGAAAATGTTGTTTGTGCTGTATTTAGACCCATCTAACAAGAAACTTGTTTTGCATGCAAACGTATAAAAATTGCGGTTTTTATCCAACGCAATCATAGGTTTGAACGTTGTTTTCAATTTAGACTTGTTTATATTTTTTCGTTTGGGCTTGTATTATATTTGCCTTCGGGTTTATATGATCCGTTCATCCCATTTTGACTCCTCAAAATTCAAGAGTCTATTCTCAATTGAGGTAAATTGTATGGCTTTCCAAAAACCGTTTCGATTCCCAACATCACTAAAGAGACATTAATTGTCAAAATCCGGATATGGTGTACAAAAACCTTTGCACCTTTTGTTTGCGGTATACCATCTTTTCCGGAAGTTTATTGTTTTCTGTTTAGTATTAAATTTATAATTAAGATCCATTTATTACATCGGTGATCCATTTATTTGGCAATCGCCAATGGCAGTCAGCAGGGTTTAAGAACATTTGTTGTTCGACCTGTTAGTCAAATGCGTTTTGTTAAAATATACTTTTTCACTTTTTTGGTCTTTTGGAAAATGTTGTTTGTGCTGTATTAAGACCCATCTAACAAGAAACTTGTTTTGCATGCAAACGTATAAAAATTGCGGTTTTTATCCAACGCAATCATAGGTTTGAACGTTGTTTTCAATTTAGAATTGTTTATATTTTTTCGTTTGGGCTTGTATTATATTTGCCTTCGGGTTTATATGATCCGTTCATCCCATTTTGACTCCTCAAAATTCAAGAGTCTATTCTCAATTGAGGTAAATTGTATGGCTTTCCAAAAACCGTTTCGATTCCCAACATCACTAAAGAGACATTAATTGTCGAAATCCGGATATGGTGTACAAAAACCTTTGCACCTTTTGTTTGCGGTATACCATCTTTTCCGGAAGTTTATTGTTTTCTGTTTAGTATTAAATTTATAATTAAGATCCATTTATTACATCGGTGATCCATTTATTTGGCAATCGCCAATGGCAGTCAGCAGGGTTTAAGAACATTTGTTGTTCGACCTGTTAGTCAAATGCGTTTTGTTAAAATATACTTTTTCACTTTTTTGGTCTTTTGGAAAATGTTGTTTGTGCTGTATTTAGACCCATCTAACAAGAAACTTGTTTTGCATGCACACGTATAAAAATTGCGGTTTTTATCCAACGCAATCATAGGTTTGAACATTGTTTTCAATTTAGACTTGTTTATATTTTTTCGTTTGGGCTTGTATTATATTTGCCTTCGGGTTTATATGATCCGTTCATCCCATTTTGACTCCTCAAAATTCAAGAGTCTATTCTCAATTGAGGTAAATTGTATGGCTTTCCAAAAACCGTTTCGATTCCCAACATCACTGAAGAGACATTAATTGTCGAGATCCGGATATGGTGTACAAAAACCTTTGCACCTTTTGTTTGCGGTATACCATCTTTTCCGCAAGTTTATTGTTTTCTGTTTAGTATTAAATTTATAATTAAGATCCATTTATTACATCGGTGATCCATTTATTTGGCAATCGCCAATGGCAGTCAGCAGGGTTTAAGAACATTTGTTGTTCGACCTGTTAGTCAAATGCGTTTTGTTAAAATATACTTTTTCACTTTTTTGGTCTTTTGGAAAATGTTGTTTGTGCTGTATTTAGACCCATCTAACAAGAAACTTGTTTTGCATGCAAACGTATAAAAATTGCGGTTTTTATCCAACGCAATCATAGGTTTGAACGTTGTTTTCAATTTAGACTTGTTTATATTTTTTCGTTTGGGCTTGTATTATATTTGCCTTCGGGTTTATATGATCCGTTCATCCCATTTTGACTCCTCAAAATTCAAGAGTCTATTCTCAATTGAGGTAAATTGTATGGCTTTCCAAAAACCGTTTCGATTCCCAACATCACTAAAGAGACATTAATTGTCGAAATCCGGATATGGTGTACAAAAACCTTTGCACCTTTTGTTTGCGGTATACCATCTTTTCCGGAAGTTTATTGTTTTCTGTTTAGTATTAAATTTATAATTAAGATCCATTTATTACATCGGTGATCCATTTATTTGGCAATCGCCAATGGCAGTCAGCAGGGTTTAAGAACATTTGTTGTTCGACCTGTTAGTCAAATGCGTTTTGTTAAAATATACTTTTTCACTTTTTTGGTCTTTTGGAAAATGTTGTTTGTGCTGTATTTAGACCCATCTAACAAGAAACTTGTTTTGCATGCACACGTATAAAAATTGCGGTTTTTATCCAACGCAATCATAGGTTTGAACATTGTTTTCAATTTAGACTTGTTTATATTTTTTCGTTTGGGCTTGTATTATATTTGCCTTCGGGTTTATATGATCCGTTCATCCCATTTTGACTCCTCAAAATTCAAGAGTCTATTCTCAATTGAGGTAAATTGTATGGCTTTCCAAAAACCGTTTCGATTCCCAACATCACTAAAGAGACATTAATTGTCGAGATCCGGATATGGTGTACAAAAACCTTTGCACCTTTTGTTTGCGGTATACCATCTTTTCCGCAAGTTTATTGTTTTCTGTTTAGTATTAAATTTATAATTAAGATCCATTTATTACATCGGTGATCCATTTATTTGGCAATCGCCAATGGCAGTCAGCAGGGTTTAAGAACATTTGTTGTTCGACCTGTTAGTCAAATGCGTTTTGTTAAAATATACTTTTTCACTTTTTTGGTCTTTCGGAAAATGTTGTTTGTGCTGTATTAAGACCCATCTAACAAGAAACTTGTTTTGCATGCAAACGTATAAAAATTGCGGTTTTTATCCAACGCAATCATAGGTTTGAACGTTGTTTTCAATTTAGACTTGTTTATATTTTTTCGTTTGGGCTTGTATTATATTTGCCTTCGGGTTTATATGATCCGTTCATCCCATTTTGACTCCTCAAAATTCAAGAGTCTATTCTCAATTGAGGTAAATTGTATGGCTTTCCAAAAACCGTTTCGATTCCCAACATCACTAAAGAGACATTAATTGTCGAAATCCGGATATGGTGTACAAAAACCTTTGCACCTTTTGTTTGCGGTATACCATCTTTTCCGCAAGTTTATTGTTTTCTGTTTAGTATTAAATTTATAATTAAGATCCATTTATTACATCGGTGATCCATTTATTTGGCAATCGCCAATGGCAGTCAGCAGGGTTTAAGAACATTTGTTGTTCGACCTGTTAGTCAAATGCGTTTTGTTAAAATATACTTTTTCACTTTTTTGGTCTTTTGGAAAATGTTGTTTGTGCTGTATTTAGACCCATCTAACAAGAAACTTGTTTTGCATGCACACGTATAAAAATTGCGGTTTTTATCCAACGCAATCATAGGTTTGAACATTGTTTTCAATTTAGACTTGTTTATATTTTTTCGTTTGGGCTTGTATTATATTTGCCTTCGGGTTTATATGATCCGTTCATCCCATTTTGACTCCTCAAAATTCAAGAGTCTATTCTCAATTGAGGTAAATTGTATGGCTTTCCAAAAACCGTTTCGATTCCCAACATCACTAAAGAGACATTAATTGTCGAGATCCGGATATGGTGTACAAAAACCTTTGCACCTTTTGTTTGCGGTATACCATCTTTTCCGCAAGTTTATTGTTTTCTGTTTAGTATTAAATTTATAATTAAGATCCATTTATTACATCGGTGATCCATTTATTTGGCAATCGCCAATGGCAGTCAGCAGGGTTTAAGAACATTTGTTGTTCGACCTGTTAGTCAAATGCGTTTTGTTAAAATATACTTTTTCACTTTTTTGGTCTTTCGGAAAATGTTGTTTGTGCTGTATTAAGACCCATCTAACAAGAAACTTGTTTTGCATGCAAACGTATAAAAATTGCGGTTTTTATCCAACGCAATCATAGGTTTGAACGTTGTTTTCAATTTAGACTTGTTTATATTTTTTCGTTTGGGCTTGTATTATATTTGCCTTCGGGTTTATATGATCCGTTCATCCCATTTTGACTCCTCAAAATTCAAGAGTCTATTCTCAATTGAGGTAAATTGTATGGCTTTCCAAAAACCGTTTCGATTCCCAACATCACTAAAGAGACATTAATTGTCGAAATCCGGATATGGTGTACAAAAACCTTTGCACCTTTTGTTTGCGGTATACCATCTTTTCCGCAAGTTTATTGTTTTCTGTTTAG